ATGAAAGTATCGTGCCTCCTCCCACATACCTTGCCTTATGCATCTCTTTTATTCGGCTGCTCCTAGTGTTGTATTCTCCATAATAAATTTACCAGAGTAAGCAAAGTATTTCACTGAGTTATGAGAAGCACTATAGCAAATTTTTGAACCTGAGGAGGGGATTTTGGGAACCCCCAGTTTATAGCTGGTCAGTCAGGAATACAGGAGACCTGAGACTTGTGATTGGCATCTGAAAAGGGGGTCAGTTTTATGGGGCTGATCCCTTAATTTGTGGGGCTTGTACTAATTCCAGGTAGCTAGTATCAGAATTGAGTTAAATGGTAAGATCCCTAGTTGGTGTTTGCAGAGAATTGAAGAAGTACTCAGTTTGGAAAACCTACACGTTTCGGTGTCAGAAGTGTTAAGAGCATTCGAAAAGTAGTTTTTCTTTTGGTATCCTTACCAGCTTGTGCAGAAATTGAGGTCCTGGTGGATCCTTGACACCTGAGTAGCATCTTCAACTGTGTTTGTGTCAGTGTGTCCTGGGTTTGGAGTTTACTCTTAAATAAATCTGGCTCCTAAGCAAATTAATGCAGGAACAGAAAACCAAATACCACACGTTCTTACTTATAAATGGAAGCTAAACTTTGAGTACACAGGGACACAAAGAAGGGAACAGCAGACCTGCTCTGTTGTTCCCTGAGACCTACTTGAGGGTGGAGGTTAGGAGGAGGAAGAGGACCAGCAAACTAGCAGGTATGATACCCATTAGCTGGGTGATTAAATAATCTGTACACCAAAACCCACAACACACAATTTACCCACATAATAAATATGTACTTGTATCCCTGAACCTAAAATAAAAGTTGGAAAGAAAAATAATAAATAAACAAACAAACTAGAAATAGATAAATAAATCTGGCAAAGTTTTATGGTGTTTGTGGCAGGTGAAAATATACTTGCACCCAGCAGCATCTGCCTGAATTTTCTCTGTAAATTGCAAAGGCCCAATATTTAACACAGGTCACATTTTAGGATTAGAATTTTAATCCACTTTCAAGTTTATTCCTCGAAAAATAAAAATAAAAAAAGATCCAGAAAAGAGCTAAGAGTAGGAAGCAACCTACCTTTGTATCTTTCACTAAGGCTCATGTATTTTGATAGTTAAAAGCAAAAGCAAATGGGCCTGGTAACTGGTGGGAGGAGTGGCCAGGGAAGGTGCTCACAAAGTATGAATTGGTTAGCAGTCAGTTTAAAATGGGCACCCCACAGAGAATATAATTATAATAACGTGGATTGCTGCCTTTCTGTCTCAACATTATTATAACAAACATGTAATTGGTACTTTTCTACTTATAAAAATATCATACATACATTACTGATACCTAATATCTAACAATTCTTCAGCACTTAAAATGTACCAAGCACTGTTTTAGGTGCTTATGCTCATTTGCTCATTTAATCATTACTGACTCACAGGGCTGTATTCCAGTGCCTCCTTAGACTGCTATTTAAAACCATTCCTCACCTACCCGCTTGCTCTCCTCCATAGCACTCACCACTCTCTGACACACTATGTGTTTACTTCATTACCTGGCTGTGTCTCTCCACTAGAAAGTAAGCTCCCTGATGGTGAGAATTTGTTCTATACACAGCACTTAAAATAATGCCTGACGTATAATAAAACAAATGGCTGGTCCTTAGTAAATACTTGATTAATGATGGAAAGTACTGTTACCCCCCATTTTACAGGTGAGGAAACAGACTCTTGAGTGGTTAAGCAGCTTGCTCAGATTACAGCTAGGAAGAGGCAGAACTGTGATCCAAACCCAGACACTCCTGCTCTAGAGACACCCACAACCACAACTGTAGGCAGCCCAGGTGCACAGCATTGATCAAGAGCATTGTGTGGTAGGCACAGACCCAGGTATTTAGCTTGTAGAAAGCAGAGGAAGGGCCTGAGAAGGAGGTGGTAGGCACTGAAGATTAACGTCAGCTCTCTGACACTTGTGCTTTGGTCTGACCCTGGCTAATGGTGCTGATATCAGCCTCTAATGAATAGAGTCACACAGAAACCAACAGACATTTCTGAAGTCTTTGTGTGTGTAAAGCACTGATGTAGGTGTTAAGAAAACTATCACAAAGTACAAAAAGAGACACTTGGCATTCAAGGAGCTTATAATTGTGGAAAGCACTAGCGTATGAAAAATTAAATAGCAAAGTCAGCAGTATTAAGGGTACTATAAAGTGGCATGTGGTTAACAACCAAACCAGGGGCCCTGGGAACCAGTGCTTCACCCCTAAGGAGAGAGTAGTCGACGAAGCCTGGGTAGGCTGGGAAGTTTTGTGTGGTGTGGGGCAGCAGGGAGCAGAGCTTCCTTGGGACTGGCAGAGCCAGGGGGGCTGAAGAGGTCTAGGGGAAGGTGAACTGGGAGGATGGGAAAGCAGAGAGCTCCTTGGCAGAAACTGCTGGGGGGCAAAGTACTGCAAAGGTGCTAGGCAGGGACATGGGGGGAAAACAGAGCCAGTCAGCTGCAACCAGTCAAAGCCAGGCTGGAGAATGTCGTGTGTAGTTTGTGCATGGATGTCACCTTGAGCTGGGAAGCAACTCAGAGACTGATCAGGAAGAAGAATAGGAGTAAAATTGGAAATGCTGCCAGAGATGACATGGAAGACCACAGGGAAGGCCAGAAAAACAAATAGCTAAGGGCACGGGCTACAGAGCCCAGCCTGACTTCCAGTTCCACCTCTGCCACTTCTGCACCATATGAAAGGCCATGACACTCAACTTTCAGAGACTCATTTCCTCGTCTGTAAATGAGAGAGAAAGAAAAAATTGTTTCATGGCATGTCTGTGAGGCTAATGCAATGAGATAATGTGATAACATGTAAAATGCTTAGCACAGTGCTCAGTAAATGGTAGCTTTTAAAAACCATGGAAGTGACCCACTGGAAATGCTGGGTTCGCAGCCCCAAGAACCAGAAAGCAATGTCAGACCATGGTGCCTACTTCCCCCGTGCTGCGGGCGACCCCCTATAGCACCTGCTTTGATGGCCCCAGTGGCCCATTCCTTCCCTCATACTCGTAATTGCCTTCTCACATACAAGGCTCAATCAAACTCCTGCAGAAACACGACAGGAGGCTAAAAAGATAACATAAAGCAGAAGCTGTTACCAGAATGGTGTTGGTTGAACAGGATGTAAGGGGACCAGGGAAACAGATGGCTGAGAAGCAGATATTGTGGAACCATCCAGGAAGGTATTGCCCTTCCAAGCTCAGGACAGAGAAGCTAGTTCTATTATTATAACTTTTTGTTTGTTTGTTTTTTTAATGTACTGATTGCCTGCTTGCCCCTGAAGGCAGTTTCAGGACTTCAGCAAAATACAAGTTAGCACCTGTTTTTATAAGTATAGCTAAGATAGTTTTAGTTTCAGGGGTTTTGTTTGCTTCTGTCTTCATTTTTGTTGCATTCCTGAATATCCTGTTTCTAGCCATGGTGGTTGTTTTGACATTGTCAATCAAGAACTCAGTGGGCAATAGCTTAAATGCCTTCAATATTACCATCTGTTGCTGGTTTAAACAGAGTTTTAATTTCTTTCTTTTTTTTTTTTTTTTTTTTTTTCTTTTTTTGAGATGGAGTCTAACTCTGTCACCCAGGCTGGAGTACTGTGGCGTGATCTCAGCTCACTGCAACCTCTGCCTCCTGGGTTCAAGCGGTTCTCCTGTCTCAGCCTCACAAGTAGCTGAGATTACAGGCGCCTGCCACCACGCCCAGCTAATTTTTGTATTTTTAGTTGAGATGGGGTTTCCCTGTTTTGGCCAGGCTGGTCTTAAACTGAATCTCACGATCTGCCATCCTTGGCCTCCCAAAGTGCTGTGATTCCAAGCATGAGCCACCACGCCTGGCCCAGAGTTTTAATTTCTAAAGGTTTCTTTGAATTACTCACCAATGAAAGAAAAGCTAGAAATTGCAGCATAATTTCAAAATATTGTTTGGGGTATACGGTCATGAGAAAACATAAAACTGTATTCTCCTGTGAATTCCTGAGCAAAATTATCCTACAGTGATAGAATAAACTAGTCATAGGTGGGCTTCCAGTGCAGGTAATTTATATTATATGCCTACTGTGTGCCAAGTATAGCACTAGATTCTGGGTATACAATGGTGAACAAGACAACATAGTCTTTACTCTCTTGGAATTTTCTAGTATAGTTTTCCAACTAGCAGTTGGCCTTTTGCATAGCCGGATGGTCTGCATATGCACCTCTTGTTCTTTGAGTAGTAATAGTGTGTTTGTGAATGTTCCACCCCCATTCTTCTCCAGCATCCTTTGTATGCAGAATGTACTGTACACATGGCTGAGGGATCAGGGAAGGTGTAAATCAGATCCTGTAAACCCAGCACCCATGGCAGCACTCTTCTAACCTCCTAATCAGTGTAGACAAGTGTGGTTGCTACCTAATAAACCACTGTAAAATTACATTAGAACTCCTCATTATATTTTTTGGCTCAAACATGTTCTCCTATGTCTGTTGGTGTCTAGTACATCTCCGTACAAATGTATATGGCCCTTTCCCATGTTGTGTTTCATTTTCCCTTCAGAAGAAGCCTGTGTGGTAGAATGAATCAGGTAATGGTATCTCACACATGAATGAAAAGTGGCTTCCCTCCCCATTCTCCTGGGGAGGGCTGCTTCCCCACTTTGTGAAGCCCACTCCTCACAGCCTAATCTGCAGCTCCTGCTTTACCAAGTGAGGCTCATTTTATATTCAGCATTTACTGATCACCTGCTACGTATAAGACTCTTTCCTCTGAACATGCTCCTAATTCCATTTGTTGAGTTATCAATTCCCAGGAATCCCAAGATCCCCAAATATGAAGACCCTGCAGAGAAAGACTCAAATTCGCTACTGCAGACACCTCTGTTCTGAAGAGCAAATTTGAGTAAGAAATAATTATGTTTATGCTGAGAAATGTTTCTCTTCTTTCTCTCCCCCTTGTTCTACTTATTTCTCATAGTTCCCCGTCTCTGAGCTTCTCCCTGGGGCCTACAAAATGCATCTTGCTGGAGTCCTGGGAGAGCACTGAATAAATATAAAGCGATAATGAGAAGGCTCTGGGCCACCTGGGAGATGGTAAATACAGCCAAGAGGCCCGGTAGGACCTGAATGCCTGCCCAGGGATCTCAGGTGCGGTGTAATTGTTGCTCAGCTTTTTTCTTTTACTCAATAAACTGTAGTTCGGTGGGCAAGTTGTATATTGTGCTTTCCGTATACCCCTAATGCAGTGTCTGGTGCTCCATAAATAGTTATTGAAAGAAAGAAGGCAGGCAGGTAAGGAGGAAGAAATGTGTGCGGGTGCACCTAAGCTTCTGAGGTTGACAGAAACCTAAAGTCTAGGTAAGAGCAGAGTTTGCACTTTTTCTTTTAAGACAGAATCCCTGGGTTAGTTGAGGTGAAAGCGCCGTGGATAACCTGTTTGACACCTGGTTAGTGGGAGTCAAGGGGTGCATGCACCTCCTCTGCTGGCTGCCATGCTGGAGCTGTGTTTAGTCTCAGGGGCATCATCAGCCTGGGGGCAGCTGTGTGGCTGTAACCCCAGTGGATGCCAGTGTAACTGGTACACACACCAGTGGTGACCCCCAGATGGGCCCACAGGGCAGAAACACTAAAGGCCAGGCCTCGGTCTCCCTGGGGGCTGCCTGGAGTTCCTTCACAATAGCAACAAAGGAACCTGTTGTTCATGGAAGCCTTAGGCAAGGAAGCAGCTCTGCCATGGTGGCTGTGGAGCCCAAGCCCATTGGAGATTTTGCAGGTAGTGGACATTAGTCCTGAAGAGCAGCTTTGGCACTCCAGGGACCACCAGGCCTTGCCCACCCAGAAGTCATAGCAGCCAGCATAGACTTTAGCTTAGGAATACACTGCATGACCATCTCTGTGAGACCTCTTCACCCTCAACCATCCTATGAGGGAAGCAGGACAGGGATACTACATTCCACAGATGTGGAAATTGAGGTTCAATAAGGCTAAATTACTTGCCTAAGGTCACACAACCAGTAGAGTGTCAGGGTTTTTACTCAGGACATCTGATCCCTTGTCGATCACATCAGCAGAGGCATAGCAGCTGCAATGTTGAGAATAACCAGCAGAGGACAGCCTCCACAAAGAGGCCATTTAAATGCCTTTGCAGAGATAAAAGCTAACATACCAGTATTAGGGCATATGTCGTCACGCGCTCATTCCCTGACAAGATACACCGAAAAGGATGCAACATCAATTCTATGATTTTCCTGTCCTAAAAAGCTTACCTAAACCTAATCCTGAAATGCCAGATAAACTCAAAATCAGGGACAGTCTACTAAGCAACTGGCTGGTACCCTCCAAAATTGCCAAGGTCCAAAAAGTCAAAGGCAGATTTGTTCCAGGGTAAAGGAGGGCCATGACAACTAAATGCAACTTAATGCAATAAATGTTTGATCTTTGGTTGGATCCTTGGCTGAGAAAAAAGCAATAAAAAATGTAAAGAAAGGTAAAGGACATTATTGGGACAAATGATGTAATCTGAATTTGGACTATGGTTTAGATAATAGTATTGTATCAATGTTAAGTACCCTAAAGTTGTAATCATAATATGTTTACATAAGAGAATGTCTTTGATCTCAGAAATATTAAGGGGTAAAAGGGTATAATGTCTCCAACTAGCTTTAAAAGAGTCAAGAAGGAACACAGAGAGATAGTGATAAGGCCACAAAGAAATGGAGCAAAATATAAGCAATAGGTGAATCTGGGCACAGGGCATGTGGGAGTCCCTTAATACTGTATTTATAAGTTTTCTGTAACTTTTAAATTATATCCACATTAAAAGTGGATGAGAGAGAGAGAAAGAGAAAAACCGTCCTAGGTTCTCCAAAGCTTTGGCCTTGTGGTAGCCATACCCAATTTGAGGCGGTGAAAGCTTTCTCAGTCTGGGGTGGGTAGTAGGTGGTGAGGAGAGGCCTCTTTTTAGTAAAGTGTGGCTTCAGCCCTCTGTGAACCCTTGACCTTTGCACTGGACTGGTCAGAGTAACTTCACACAGAGCTTACCTGATAATAGATTTACCTGACCTAGGAGACAGGCCTTTGCTCAAACATTTTGAGGGAGTGAATATAATTCACACCTAATTCACGCCTATAGGTGGAGGAGGAACAGTGGACTTAGCTGAATGCAGAATGGAGCTCTAGGGGTTGGGAACACAGGGAACATTCCAGGGCCTGTGAAATACAGTGGAGGGTCATCTGGAAGAGGGGTGCAGGGTGGAACCACCACCTACAGCTTTGCTGGGGCAAACCTTCCAAAAGGTAAGACTCCTGGAATCTCAATGAACAGGGGAAATATTAAGAGTAAAAAGACTGCTATGAGAGCAGCCATGAAAAAGGACACCAAGTAGAAAAAGCTGATGGGAATGATGTATTAGAACCACTTGGAGGATTATCAGAATTCTGATTTGTTTAGGCCTGGGACAGGGTGGAGAATTCATATTTCTAAAAAGCTACCTGGTGCTGTTGGTCTGGACCACACTGTGAGTTGCAGTGGTATTGCAGATGATTGTGTTCAGCCCACCCTGGAGGAGTAATGCCTGTGAGGTATATGTGAGAGTCACAATCAAAGAGGTCCAGGGTTGACCATGGGGTACCTCTAGCTGGGCAATAGGGATTAGGGACAGACAGCCTCATGAATGAAATGCCACTTAAACTGGGTTTCAGAGGAGATGGGGTAGAGGAGGGCCTTTTAGGGAAGCAAAGACTCAGAAAACAGTCCAATCCAGTATGTCATTTGGGTTCCCTGGGGAAATGATGGGCAAAAAGGCAGTTGAGGGGCCTGAGTGCCAGGTCAAGACTTTGGACCATATTTGGCAGGTGGTGCAGAGGCTATGGTGGAGACATGATCAGAGGCAGGGCTTTCAAAAGATTGACCTGGTAGAGATATGAAGGACAGATAGGAGAGGGGGAGACTGGAGGTGGCAAAACTAGACCGAAGGTCCCAGCAGTGGGCTTCCTGGGAGAGAAGGGCCTGGAGAAAGGGGATGACAAGTGTGCACAGAAAATAAGGGAGTTTAAGCATTCTAGCAGAGTGAGAAGTAGAGTTACACAAAGAATCCATTTGTTCCATTAGACTTTTGGCCCTGAGTTACCACCAAAATTGATACGAAGCATTCAAGTCTTCAAAGATGTTTTTTTAAAAAATCAGTCCATTAAATATATTTATAGAACATTTATTACTGAAAATTAAGTGTGAGCTTTCATATGAACATCTTCAGAAGTCTCCTAGGCAGCAAGTGGGCAGATGGAGACAATGATATGCTGGGAAACACTTACCAGCAGGCTGGGAGTCAGGAGAGCCCTGATTTGTAGTGAATGTCAATTTCCAGGCTATAAAATTCCCCATAATGGCCGATTTCAAGCTAACAACATGATGTCAACTAGCTTGTAAAATTCTGAAAATGTAACAGTTGGCTCTTGGGAGCCAGTACAAGCTGTTTCTAGCACACACTCCAGAATGTAGAACAAATGACAGGAAGTGGTTGGAGCCACTGTATAAGTAGTGTATAAATTTCTTTTCAGCATTGGTTTCCGGACCCAGAGAGCCAGGATTACCTGTGGAAGCAGCTCACAGGCTGGATGACTTTTTGCTCCAAGCATTGAAGCATCAGTTAACAACAGTTCTTCCCAAATAAAGGAAAATGGCAGGTAGGTTGGATTTGTTCTAGAGCCCCAAAGCCAGGAGGATTATTTTACGTAATAGAGAAGCATCAAGGAAAAGGAAGAGTCTTAAACTAAGAGGAAAGAGACCTGATGTTTGCACATATCTCTGTCTCTCCTACTTAGCAGCTGTGTGCTTAACTGCTTTGAGCCTCATCCTCTGTCTTTAAAAGCAAGGACAATACTAATAGTGTACACAGCTCCATGCAAAGCCCAGAAGGCATTCCATACCAGTCAGACTTCACAACTCACTCTTTCTTCCCTGATACAGCATTCACCCCTCGCCACTTAGGTTTATGCTGGCCCAGACCCTGTATCTGCCCTGTAGAATAGAACCCATCCTCACGTCTGAGGGATGTCCCATTCCTTCAGGGTAGATCTGGAAGCCACATTGGCCGGTCTGCTTCAGAGAAGAAGGCAAAGGGAGAGAGGCTGACTGTGTCCCCGTCAGCTTTCATGACTGTGCTTTGCTCCCTCACAAGCTGTACTTCCTGCCCTTGGATTCTAGTCTTTCTTTTTTCTGATAATTTTTTCTTTGGCTTAAAATTGGGATTCTGTTACCTGTAACCCAAAGAGCCTGAGACACCCTAATTATCTCCCTTCAAAAGTTCTAGTAGAGACAGAAGACAATGACCCAGGAATCAGATTTGGGTTTCGACCTTGGACAAGTGACTTCACCCCTCTGGGTCTTGGTTTCTCATCTGTAAGATGAACCGATGAACCAAATGAATGTAAATGAATTTTAGCACTAGTGTACTACTCTGTTCTACATAGCTTTAGCCTAATGGGAGTATATTAGAGTTAAATGCCCACTCTATTCCATTAGTCAGAAATGAATTGACTGGAATGACTAGAGAGCTTTGGATGTATTCACACAGTGCTGAGTAACTCCCTAACCAGTCACGTCTGGGCACAGGCGACAGCTTAGTTCGCCTGGTGTCTGTACAGGGTCTTGGAACTTGTGCAGGATTGTGAAAGGCTGCTGACAGTGGGTCTTGGCATGGAGAAGGATGGTGCTGCAGGGGTGTGAGGTTTTCGTGAACATTTTTGAAGCCATTAAAGTGTCCTAGTAATGTCCTAGGATTCCTGACCTGGCATCAGAGTATGCTGATGTGGGCCAGTTTCCTGTCTGAGACTTTGAGAGATGGATGGAAAGAGGTGAACATTTCATCAGTCATGACCACCTTTAGTATTCACCATGGGAGATGCTTTGCCTATGTTCAGGGAAAACTTAAGAGCTAATTGTCAAAAGTTTTTTTTTTTTTAATTGTAACAATAAAAGAATAATTGCTATGGAAGATGCATATATTTATAAACTGTAAAGAAGAAAGTGAAATAATCTGTTAACCAAAGACCCAGAGATAATTTCTAACAGCAATTTCATTTATATCCCTCAAACTCTTTCCATGCCATCAGCTTTTACACAGTCTTATAAACTGCTTGTCTTAGAAATGTTTGGGAGAGTTAAAGACCTAATAAAGGTCTTTAATGATTCAAGTTCAAATAATACCAAAGACTTTATCATGAAAAATAGGAGTCACCTGCCCCACTACACCACCCCTTAGCCTTGATATACCAAAGCAAATTTTAAGCATCTTTGTTTTGAGTTTCTTTGGTGATTACCTCCAACAGAAGATGCTACTTATTAATTTAGCAACTTTAGTGTTTTCTATTGACTTTCTACAGCCGTAGAGGAGTCAGCTACTTTTATCCCAATCCTGTCTCCTCACCCATCCTTCTAAATATAGTTAAATCACTATTCTCAGATCTTTCTCCATCTCCTCCTCAACTTCAAAGAACACAATTAAACCCTCATTTCCTGTTCCATCAAACATAGACAGTATCTCTTTACTCTTCGCTTTGTTAAAGGAACACTTGCCACCAAACCCTTTTCCTCCTGCTTCTCTCTCTTCTACCTATCAACCTCTGTCAGCCTGTTACATACTTTTACACTTGTTTTGAAATCATTTTTGAGTTGGTTATGTTTGTCTAATGTTAATTCTACAAGTTGAAGACCAGAAAATAATATTTATCTTATTTTGGCTATGGAAATATAGTTCACAGCAGATAAAGTAGTGAACTAGGATTAAATTTCTTTATGGAACCAGTATCTCTACCCAATAGAGAACACTTCTGGAACAAATTATCTTATTTTCTTTTGTTTTTAATCCCACCAATTTTCTTTATCTTATCCTCAAATCATATTTTCCATGCTTCAACAAGCTATTTTTTTTTAACTGATTCTACTTCTGTTCTTTCCAGTTCCCCTCCAAAGACAAAACTAAACTAAAAAACTCTGTAGTTCTCTTTCTTCTCTCGTTTCCTCTTCGTCTGTAACATTGTTGCCATACTGCAGCTTCTCTTCATTGCTCTCAGTGTTCAGAGGCATATTTTTCAAGTCCTCAACAGCTTCCTCTTTCTTAATTTATACATTCATTTTGCTGGAGTGTATTCTCAGGTAACGTTCTAGAAAATGCTATACAGGAGGTAGAATTCTACTTTCATATCTGAAAATGCCTTTATTCAACTTTTCACTTAATTAATAAATTGGCTGGGTATAAAATTGTAAGTCAAACACTGTATTACTCAAAATAGAATCTGTTTTTTTCTGGAATCTGTTAGCATCTACTTTTTATTCTTGGTGTTCTGAAAGTTTTCAATGGTGTATCTATGTGTGGGTCTTCTTGGTTCATTTGTCCGGGGCATTCCTTGGGCCTGTTGGACTCTGGAAACAATACCCCAAAATATGGCACTTTAACATGCTGAACTAATGAAGCCTACTCAAGATCTCTCTCTGATCTTCCCTACCTCCCTTTCTCTCTGATCCTCTTTCTGAATGTACAGCGAGGGACTCTCTCTGCAATTTTTTCTTTTTTCCTCTCTCTCTCTCTCTCTCTCTTTTTTTTTTTTTTTTTTTTTTTGAGAGGAAGTTTTGCTCTGTCACCCAGACTGGAGTGCAGCAGTGCAATCTCAGCTCACTGCAACCTCTGCCTCCCCAAACCTCCCACCTCAGACCCCCACCCTCACCACAAGTAGCTGAGACTACAGGTCTGTACCACCACACCTGGCTAATTTTTGTATTTTTTGTAGAGACAGGGTTTTGCCATGTTGCCAAGGCTGACCTGGAACTCCTGGGGTCAAGCAGTCCTTCTGCCTCTGGCTTCCAAAGTGTTGAGATTAAAGGTGTGAGCCACCATGCTGGGCCTGGAATTTTCTTAGTTGACCCAGAAAACTTCTTTCCAAAAGAAGCGCAGTTGTCTTAAGACTCCTTCCTTAGGAATCTCACCAACTAACCAAGAAAGATTAATCACTGGGGAGGAGAGACAGGGAGCCATCACCACACCCACACAGACTATTAATTTATTCTTCTGAGAGTAGCAAGAAGAGATTACCTGGTTGACTTAATCTGCATAATAAGACAACTTTTGTTCACAGTGGAGTTCTACCTCTAGCCTTCCACCACCTACCCTAGAGCTCGGAGAAACTTTTTCCCAGGCCATTCTTGTTTGTGCTCATTTATTTCCCCTGAAAATCATTTATTCCCACACCTATCATTCTCCATCTCCCCTTCCTCTATGAAGAAGAATATAAAACCCTCATTGGGTTATTGAGTAATCATTCTCATGGGATTTCCCTGTGCTTAGGCATGTTAAATAATTTTTCCCCCTCAGTTATCCTTGTTTTGATGTTAAATAAATTTTGTATGTCGTTTTCTCCTATTAATCTGTCTTTTTTTCAGTTTATTTTCAGTGAACCTTCAATGGATGGAGAGGAGGCCTTCCCCCACCCCTACAGGCCATATCAATCAAAGACACATGTCCTTTCTTCGTTTTAGAAAATTCTAGCTGGGCACAGTGGCTCACACCTATAATCCCAACACTTTGGGAGGCCGAGATGGGTGGATCACAAGGTCAGCAGTTTGAGACCAGCCAACATGGTGAAACCCCGTCTCTACTAACATTACAAAAATTAGCTGGGCATAGACGCAGGCGCCTGTAGTCCTAGCTACTCAGGAAGCTGAGGCAGGAGAATCACTTGAACCAGGGAGGCAGAGGTTGCAGTAAGCTGAGATCACGCCACTATACGCCAGCCTGGGTGATAGAGCAAGACTCTGTCTCAAAAAAAAAAAAAAGAGAAAAAAAAAAGAAAAGAAAATTCTACAACTCTTTTTCTTCTTTCGAGATAAGATCTCACCTTGTCACCCAGGCTAGAGTGCAGTGGCATGATCTCAGCTCACTGTAGCCTTGATCTCCTGGGCTCAAGCAATCCTCCCACCTCAGCCCCTCAAGTAGCTGGGACTACAGGTGTACACTACCCTGCCAGCTAATTTTTGTAGAGATAGAGTTTTGCCATGTTGCCAAGGCTGTTCTTGAACTCCTGAGCTCAGATCTGCCCACCTTGGCCTCCCAAAGTGCTGGGATTACAGGTGTGAGCTGCCATGCACAGCCTTCTACTATTCTTTTAAAACTTCTGTTGAGTTTCAGAAAATGATAACCCAAAATATAATACTTTGACATGATGAGTGCTTTGAATTAAGGAAAATTGAAAGGGCTAAACAATGAGCTGCAGAATCAAGGTCTCTTTCTGACCTTCCTCCAGCCCCATCTTTCTGATCTTTCTGGAAACACTGGGATGGGCTCTCTCTAGAATTTCCTTTATCTTACTAAAAAAAAAAAAAAAAAAAAGTCTGAAGGAAATGTAATTATCTTAAAACTCCCTCCTAGGAATCTCATCAAATAACCAGGGAAGATTAACCACTAAAAGTTGTTACCACACCCGGACAGAGTTTTCATCTGTTCTTCCGAGGGCAGTTCCAAGACATTACCTAAGAAACTTTATCTGCATAAGACGACCTTTGTTCTTGCATAGTTTCACTCCTCGCCTTCCATGTTAGTCCCTTCTAGCTTTCAAAGATAATCATTTATAAAATAATGTCTGCCTTGCAAATTCATATATCACTCCCTTATGAAGAGAATATTCAAGCCTTAACCATCTGTCTTCTCTTTGAGTCTCATATTTTGTGTATGGCTCCTATGTTTATGCACATTAAAGGAATTTCTATGTATTTTTCTCATATTAATCTGTCCATGGTTAGATCATTCCAGCAAACTTTCAGAGTTGGTAGAAGGCAAAGTATTTCCTCTTCAACACGATGTTTTCTTTCTCTTGTTTTAATGTTTTTCTCTTTTTGGAATTCCTGTCTTTTAGATCTCAAATCTTTATATCACCACTTTAGACCTTTTGTCTTTTTTTTTTTTTAATCACATTTTACATTTCTTTTCAAATCTATACTTGGGAGATTTCTTCGACTTCATTATTTAACCTCATCATTATTTTGGAAACCATATTTTTAATTTCTAAAGCTCTTTCTTGTTCTCTGATTGTTTCTTTTTCAGAACATCCTCTTCTTGTTTTGTCACTGTGACATGTTATCCTTAGTTTTCTCTGAGATTTTTAGAAGTTGTTGTTCATTTGTTCAATCCTTTTTTCCCTCATGAATTATCTTTGTTTCCTCTAAAATTGTGTTTGTCTGTTGGTTTATTTTTCCTTTTTCCTATTGCAGACTTTCCTCTCATGTCTGTTTACTCATGGCTTTTCATTTCTGTTTAAGACTGAGGAAATAAGGATGCTAATAGAAAATCTTAAGAACCTAGAGAGAGCTTGTCCACTGTCAGGGAATGTCAATAATAAGTCATTCTTTTTGTTGAAAGTCCTTAAAGGCAGGAATGCAGAGGGCTTCACTCTGGACTTCCAAATCCCATATTGGCTGCCCTAGTTCTCCACAGGCAGTCTATATAGTCTCTTCAGAGACACACTCTCAGTGTTTTACCTAGAGGAGGTGATTGACACCTGTCTATACAAGCACGGGTGTCAACTGTTGCACATACAGAACTTTAATGGGTTTCAGCCCCATTTTCCATTCCTGCTATCTAAGATCCCTTTCGTTTCCAGACTAAGATCACCTCTCACGTTCTGTGGAGAGACCTTGAGCTCTTAGCTGCAGCTCACTCCACCCTGCTGTATTAGCCAATATTCATGCAGCTATTTCTGTTTCCAAGAAATTTGTTGAAATCTCTGTCTGCTGAAAGCAGATGCCTGTGTTCTTCTTTGTTGTAGTCTTATGCCGTTTTAATTCCTGAGCTAGAGGATTCCTGAACTTAAATTGCCATATGGTACTCTATAATAAGGTTGTATGTTAAATTGTAGCAAACGTTTACACAATGTTATGATGAAGATCCTGATGGCTAAATCATTACACACATCCATGACTTTTTATTTAGAATAAATTGTGAGAAAAAAATTGCTGCGTTAAAATGGAAGCAGTTGTGTTTTAAAATAAATTAAACATGCATTTACCTTTAAGGTCCAGAAATCCCAGTCACAGGTATATACCAAGATAAATGAAGCATAATTCCACACAGAGACTTGTACACAAGTGTTCATAACAAGTTTATTTTGTGCATGATGGCTGAAGACTGGTAACAACTCATATGTTCATCAACTGATGAAGGGATAAACAAATTGTTAAACAGTGGTTCCTCCTTATCCACAGTTTTACTTTCTTCAGTTCCAGTTGCCTGCAGTCAACTTTGGTCCAAAAATATTAAGTGGAAAATTCCAGAAATAAACAGTGTCCAAGTTTAAATTGCATCCTGTTCTGAGTAGTGTGATAAAATCTTATGCTGGCTGACTCTGTCCTGCCCAGGATGTGAATAATTTCTTTGTCCAGCGCAGGCATATTATATACACTGCCTGTCTGTTAGTCACTTAATAACCATCTTGGTTATCAGATTGGCCCTCACAGTATCACAGTATTTGTGTTTAAGGAATCCCTATTTTACTTAATACTGCCCTGAAAGTGCAAGAGTAGTGATGATGGCATATTGTTATAATTGTTCTATTTTATTGTAGTTATTGTTGTTAATCTCTTACTGTGCCTAGTTTGTAAATTAAACTTTATCATAGGTATATATAATACCTATCTCAGAAAAAGAAAAATTTGAATTTTAGAAGAGGTCCAAAATGGCTGTGGATTAGGCATATGGATAATAGAAGATAGGCCTATGAATTAAAGCCGAACTGTCACCTGTGATTCTGGAGTTTGCCAAAATTTAAGACAAAAGAATTTTAAATATATTTGAAATAGAGACGAGGTCTCACTATGTTGTCCAAGCTGGTCTCAAATTCCTGGCCTTAAGCCATCCTCCCACCTCAGCCTCCCAAAGTGCTGGGATTATAGGCATGAGCTGCCACTCCCAGCCTTCAGTTATTTCACTGACATGTACTTATGGCCACCTTGCCTATCATCAAATGCTAAAGCACAGAGGCAGGATAGGATCAATCATCCCTCTCCAGAACCTAAGATGCCTACATATGCATCAAACCTTTACCCTATACACATCAATAGCATATTATAAGAATGACATCTTTGCTTCACTGCTCCCTCTTTTCATTTCCTATGTTGCAAAACATATAAATACTGTGCCTCCTGTACCCATTTGGGGATGCCCTCTCTATGTGCCCTGAGTTTGTGTTTTCAATCTATAGTCCTTAAACTTGGCTCACTGTAAAATTAACTTTGATTTTTTTAAGTCCATAGTGCCAGTTATTTTAACATTTTGTGTCCACAGATGGCATTATTGGCAGGATTCTAACAGAATCCGTGGACACTCTGGACTCATTCTCTGGGACTCAGCACTTAATACCAGAATGAACCCGTTGTGTTTGGACTGACTCTGGAGGAACCACTGAGCATACAGGGTGAGTTGCCTGGAATCTGAACCTCTCTCTTTTTTTGGTAGAGGTCTATTTCACTTTATTCTGAAATATTTCCAGAATCACTAAAAGGAGAAGTAAATCCTGGATTTGCTAAATTCTTCCTGTGCTTGTTACTATTATTCTCAATTGCTAGGAAGGAAGAAAGGAAAAAGTTAGGTCAACTAAGCATTGCTGCAGGTTAGAGTGGCAGTTTCTTTGATCAGCTGAGTGTTTTCAAAACTTTTTTGTCTGGTCCAACCCTTTACATTGTATATGTGAACAACTGAGACAAAATTGCTCTTAAGATATGGGCCACTTTCTTCCTCCAGCCTGAATCTCGGGTATTCCTAGGTGGCTAAAAATCTTGTGGAGATATTGCAGGAAATCCCTCATGACATGTAGTAGTCCCAAGGAGCTTGACTATCAACAGAAGAACACATAAATTGCAATAGATCCTCCAGGGGATGCTCATAATAAAGGTTAGTCATCTCATGTTTGAAGCACCTCACTGCTTCAGCAGGTGCACATCTCCCAAGATGGAGAGGATTAACTCCAGGATAAGAGCCTGAGGAGTGAAGTTCATAAGCAGCACATTTTTGACCCTGAACACGATTAGTTTGTTGCAGACAAGGGAGAAGCGGGGAGTCTCTTTATGTGGACAATTGGAAGAAGCTGGCTCAAAAATTAAACAAAAATAATGGGATAGTTATTTCCAGGGGTATTTAGAAACTTCTAAAAAAGGAATTCATAAAATTGCTTCCATTCAAGAGGTGAGCCGCAAGATCTTGGAAACTGTTTCTCTACTGCAAAAATTGTCTGAAGTTTCCACTGTCTCATCTCCTCCTCAGACCAATCTTCTGATCCTCTAGAACTCTCTTATTCTTTGCTTTCAAAACTGCTCCCTCTTCCACCACCCACAGAAGTTTTGACACCATATATTAAAGAAAAGCCTGACCCACAGGGAAAACCTTCAGTGGCCCATACTTCCTGGACCAAGGCAGAACTTAGAGCTCTTACTAAGAAATTTCCAGATCCCACCCAGAATACTATTGGTTTTACTAAGGAGTTTAGTCTAGCTGTAAGAAATTATGAATCTTGGCCATTTAGCTCTGTGTCAGTTGGTTCACATGTTAGTATCTAAAAGAAAAGCAAGGGAATGGGTGTCAAAGGCTGACTGGAAAGATCCATGAAACAATTTTCTTTTAAAGTTAAGATCTCACTTGCTGCCCAGGCTGGAGTGCAGTGGTGTGAGTGTGATTACGAATCACCAATCTTGAACTCCTGGGTTCAAATGGTCCTCCCACCTCAGCCTCTCGAGTACCTGGGACTACAGGCATACACACCAGGCATGCACACCTGGCTAGTTTTTTAAAATTTTAAACATTGTTTGTAGACACGAGGTTCTACTATGTTGCCTAGGCTGGTCTCTAACTCTTGGCCTCAAGTGATTCTCCTGCATTGGCCTCCCAAGTCACTGGGATTACAGGCATGAGCCACCACACCCGGCCTGAGAAACTATCTTCTTAAATGAACAGCTGCTGATGAAGCAAAAGCTTGAGAACTGACAAACCATTTAGCCTAAGCAATTCCCCTGATATCCTAAGACCATTGACTGGTCTAAAGTCTGGCAATGTAAGCAAAAACCAAACAAGATCGAGCTGGACTACTTTGAAAGATTCAAAAAGGTTATTAGACAATATTTGGGAATGAATGAAGAAAATCTAAGGAATCATCCAAATGATTCTATTTTAAATTTACCTTCATTAAGGGATTGGATGAGCCATTGGCCATGGTGGTCAAAATACATCAAATAAATTGGGATTCTAGGCAGAGGCGGGCGAATCAGGAGGTCAAGAGATCAAGACCACCTGGCCAACGTGGTGAAACTCCGTCTCTACTAAAAATACAAAAATTAGCTGGGCTTGGTGGTGTGCGCCTATAGTCCCAGCTACTTGGGAGGCTGAGGCAGGAGAATTGCTTGAACCCGGGAGGCGGAGGTTGCAGTGAGCTGAGATCCCACCACTGCACTCCAGCCTGGTGCCTGGTGACAGAGCAAGACTCTGTCTCAAAAAAAATGAATAATAAATTGGGATTCTGTGCCTACTTCAGAACTAGTGAAACTGGATGATTAATTGGCCAGTTATACAGAAGAAAAACAACGAAGCCACTAAAATCATGAATTTACAGATTCAGCAACTTGCTGCTCAGTTCACCTGATCTAAACAGAGGCCTTGCTTTCAAAAGAAGATTCAGAAACATCTAAAGATGTTTGTTGTTATTACAAGAAAACAGGACATCTAAAGAAAAATTGCAGAATACTGAAATGGTACAGAAACCAAAGAAAGAAAAGGCAAAGAGGGATAGGTACTCCGAGGGAATCAAGAGGGCTTTCCCCTTCTTTTGCAATACTCTGTGGGAAGTGGAGCTATGTATATACAAATGGAGAACAAACTAAAGTATTAGTTGACATGGGAGCTACCCTCCTGTTCTCAACCCTACGTTTTTAAAGAATGTTCTTCCTCAGAGTAATCAAGCAGTTAAAATGGTAGGGATATCTACTCAACCGGTGACTATATACAAATCAGAACCTTTGCCTTTCCAACAGGGAAATTTAGATGGACATCCTTCTTTTCTTTTGGAGGCTTCCACACTGATACATCTTATAGGAGGAGATTTTTTTGAAACTTTATAATGCTCATGTTTCCTTTTTCAAAAAGAAGAAAAATGTTTTAAAAAAATAACTGAAAGAGGATTAACTCAAAACGATAAATCAGAAAATTCAGAACAGATAATAATCCAAATTCAATCATCAAGTATTAAGACCAAAACAAAAAAAAAGAACTTGAGACTTTATTTATTATTTATTTATTTATTTTGAGACAGAGTCTCACTCTGTCGCCCAGGCTGAAGTGCAGTGGCCTGATTTCATCTCACTGCAACCTCTCCCTCCCGGGTTTAAGCAATTCTCCTCCTTCAGCCTCCCAAGTACCTGGGATTATGGGCACAGAACACCAAGCCCAGCTAATTTTTTTATATTTTTAGTAGAGTTGGGATTTCAACATGTTGGCCAGGCTGGTTTCGAACTCCTGACCCCAAGGGATCCACACCCTCTTGGCCTCTCAAAGTGCTAGGATTACAGGTGTGAGCCACTGCACTTGGCCAACTTCATGCTTCATTAAGTCAAATCTCTAATTATTATTATTATTATTATTATTATTTTTTGAGACGGAGTTTCGCTCTTGTTACCCAGGCTGGAGTGCAATGGCGCGATCTCGGCTCACCACAACCTCCGCCTCCTGGGCTCAGGCAATTCTCCTGCCTCAGCCTCCTGAGTATCTGGGATTACAGGCACACGCCACCACACCCAGCTAGTTTTTTGTATTTTTAGTAGAGACGGGGTTTCACCGTGTTGACCAGGATGGTCTCGATCTCTCGACCTCGTGATCCACCCACCTCGGCCTCCCAAAGTGCTGGGATTACAAGCTTGAGCCACTGCGCCCGGCCCAAATCTCTAATTATTTACTGTCTGAATCATCCACCAATGTCATAAAAATTTTAACAGCACCCCTATATGGATATGAATGGATCCAAAGAAACCACTTCCAAATATTAAACAATAGCCATCAAAACAGGAAGCTATAACAGGAATAAAATCAATAATCAAATATTTTGTTGATAAAGGATGGATTATCTCTTCCACCAGTCCTTGTAATACTCCCATCCTCCCAGTATGAAAACCTAATGGGAAAGGATGGAGATTTGTACAAGATTGGAGAACCATTAGCAAGATTGTGATTCCCCATCTTTCAGTAGTCCCAAATCCCCACACATTCCTTTATTTAATATACCAGTAAGCAGTGAATTTCACTAACTGACTGATGCAGTGCTTTTTGTTTGTTAGCATACCAGTAAACCTTAACAGTCAATGTTTGTTTGCCTTTACCTGGGACAGCTGTCAATATACCTGGACTGTTATGCCTCAAGGTTATGCTGAAAGCCCAACATATTTTTCAAAATATTAAGGGCTGAGATGGCTGAGCTAAATTTTGAGGAAAATTCCACTCTACTTCAGAATGTGGATGATCTCCTATTATGCTTTTCCATTCTACATGATTGTAAAAATGACACCCTGTAGTTGCTGGAACAATGAGCTAAAACAAGGCATAAGTTATCTAAAGAAAAACTCCAGTTTTGCTTAACAGAAATAAAACATTTTGGACATTTAATTTCTAAGGGGAAAATAAATATAAATCCAGATCAAGTAACTGGAATTCTTGCATACCTAACTCCAAAGACTGAAAGACAGCTTAGGAGTGTTTTAGGCTTAGCTGGCTACTGTTACAGTTGGATACCCAATGTTTCTCTCATGGAACAGCCTTCATATGCATTGTTGAAAGATCATCCTGATCCCATACATTGGATATCATAAGAACAAATAACTATTCAATAAATGAAGGAAAATCTTACAAAGGCCCCTGCTTTGACCCATCCAAATTATCAGCTACCATTTTTCCTTTTTGTTTATGGAAGCCATGGCATCATCCTGGGTTTCCAACCCCAAAACACAGAGGAAAATGTAGACTTATTGGCTATTACAATCAGCAATAGACTCTATAGCTCAGGGGCTTCCCTTGTTGGAGGGCCATTTCAGGCATTATCATGTTTCTCAAGGCTACTCAAGAAACTGTAATGGAGGCTCCCTTGCCTATATATGTACTTCATTCTGCAGAAGCTTTTTTGAATTCACATCATACACAACATTTTTCTGTCAACTGATTGGCTTTATTACAGTATATTTTCACCCTCTGCTCCACACATTACCCTCTCTTGCTGTAATACTCTTAATCTCACAAGTTACTTCTTGAAGCAACTGAGGAGATACCTCATGACTTTATAGAACAGCATACACTCTGTATGCTGTATTGTTCTGTTGCTAATAGAACACCTTTTGATGCACAGTCAGAATTTACAGGAGATACCACTGCAAAATGCTGATATTACCT